CCATCTTGCAACTTCCCCACTGCCTAGCCAAGGTCGGCTCCTGGATAGAGAGACTGGCTAGTGCTGACCCCAGGCAGGATGGAAATCATGTTGGTAGGACATGCAGAGTGCTTTGAAGAATTTAACTCCTCTAACATCTCCCTTTAAAACATGATCACCTGCCCTCCGATTACATCTGCCTTCAGCCACTGGGGCCTTTCAGACTTCACAGTACTACTGGATGTCAAAGTGGCTTGGTGGCAAAACTTGCTTCCCTCTGTGCCTAGTCACAAAACAATGCCACACCATACGGCATTGGTCACCAGCCAGTCAATCAAGATCTACCAGTAGATCTTGGAGCCTCTGACAGGGGATCCTGACTGGTTTGGCTGGGAGGCTGTCAAGTGCCTGCATGTCAGCTGCTCCTCCTCTCACTGCCCTGCTGCTCCTGCCAAGAGCCTCGGAGCCACTCCCTAGGAGTCTACTTGTTGTGCAGGGTGGGGGAGACAGAGGCAGGGGGCACTTATGTTACTCCACCCCCCTTTCCTGTACCCCATCTTCACAGAGTGAAGAGGAGGAGGCCTCAGAGAAGGGGCAGGGCAGGGCTATTTGGGTTTGAGGTAGATCCTGTACTGACAAATTCAAAAAGTGATCTTGTGCTTAAAAAGGTTGGAGACCACTGCCCTGTGGGATACAAACTTGCAAGGCCAGGTTAACCATTAGGCTGATAAGGCTATAGCGTTAGGCCCTCCAGGCCACACAGGGGGCAGGGCCAGGGCAGGAGAGAGAGGTGGAGTAAGTTTGCTCAGGTAGTCCTGCTGGAGCCTGGGAGCACTCCTGCCAGCAGGAAAAGTAAAGCAGCACCTGGAGCTTAGCAGGAGCTCAGCCGGCTGCTGGCAACGGTCCCTTGCTTCCCGGGTTCCCTGGAGGCTCTGTCTGTCCCCATGCTGCTGCAGGACAGGTTAACAGTGGTAAACGGAGATTAAAAACGTGGTCTGGTTACTATGGGAACCTGTGCCTGCTGTGGGTGTAGTTTGAGCAGGCACTGTCTCTCCCCTCCCTGTTTCCCCATCTTCCATTTCTCCAGAGCTCTGCTGGGCTGTTGGGGGGGAGCAGGAGGGAAGAAGAGAGGGCAAGACTACCCAGTTTAGGCCTGTGTCCCTCCCCGCTGAGACTGGCAGGCAAGTACAGCTTCAGGACGCTCTCTCCTGGTCCTAGTGCTAGCTCCATTTCTGGGCAACAGGTGAGTGCCTAGAGGTGGCAGGTGGGGAGGAGCAGGGCACAAGGAAAAGGCAGTACCAATGCAGTGGGAAGCTTGCACAGAATCTATAGACACTCCATCCAGCTCCAACCTGAACTATGGCCCCTGCCCTCATCCCATGTATAATGAACGAATTCCCACCCACTGAGAAAAACCAACCCTCCCACTCTGGATACCAGCGCTCTGACTTTTACAGCAGCCTTTCACCAAGGAGTTTCAGATTTATGATGCACTGTTTTCAATACTGTATTGAACTGTGCTAAAAAAATAATCCAATTGTTTTTCTTTGATGTATGTTTTCTGTACTGGCATGCACAGGAAATCCAATTCTTCCCTTTTGCTCTGCCTAGTTCCACAGGGGAACACAACTTTTGCTGTTAAGGGGGTTGCAAAATCCTTGGAGAAAGCTCAACACACAATGTTTCTCTCAGGGATTTTAAATTCACTTCGTAGCCGGCTGTGATATGTGGGCATTTTCACATCAAAAGCTATTAATGGGACACATCCAGCCCACTTAGTTAGCCTCATTAACACGGGTCCTACAAGTTACAGATACTTCTTCTGCTGTAATATATACTTCTTGGTTTCTGCTATTTCCACTCCAATTCATTGGATGAAGTGGGTTTTGCCCACAAAAGCTCAGGATTCTGTATATTTTGATTAGTCCCCAGGTGCCACAGGACCTCTCACTATTTTTTTCAATTTGTAATTCATACTTAGGCCCTTCGCTCCCCTTAATCTTAGGCCCCTCACAACCTGAATCTTACCCTGCAAACGTGGCCATAGAGCCACATGATCCTGACCTCCAGGCTCAGTAACTGCAACTCATCATATCTAGGAATGAACTGGCAGAGCCAGGGATAGCTTCAGCTTTCAGAAAATGCAGCAACGTGGGTCCGTAGATGTCAGAACTCCCCAATGGTCTATTCTCTGCACTGGCTGCCCCATGAACAGTCTGTGCTCTGATATTCCAAGCCCTCCATGAGACTGGCCCTACCTACCAGAGAGGCACCTCTCCCTTTATGATCAGCCTGTTCTTCAACAGCTGCAGGGCACTGGTAAGCAAGAAGTGGAAGCTTATGAGTGAAGGGGCCAGGACATTGACAGGAGCTGGACTGGGAACTTCATGCCCTGGGCCTCACCGCTTTCAGGACTAAATGTGATCTTTCCTGGGAGGTGATGATTCCTTAATAAACCTTCCACACATTGACAAGCCTACCCATTAGTCAAGCTGCTTCTGCAGGCCAAGAAGGAAGGAAGACAATAAGGAAGGAGATTACTTCTATTTAAATCCTTGGGAGATGTTTATATACTCTAGTGTTGAAGGCCAAACTGAAGACTAAGAAAACCTCTCTCAGCATGAGGTCTGCTAAGCAGTGGAATCAGGTCTCTGAGGAGGAGGTAGCAGAAGTCCTGTCACTGGAGTGACTGAAAGCAGCTTGGACAAATCACCACAGCGTACACTGTTATACAGACAGTAACAATCCTGCTCTGGGACGAGGAGGGGCGAGATGGTTTAATACGCCTCTCTGGGCTGTTAATTCTGTGCCCAGGAGGAAGGGAATGGACCTCACTGGAGAACCTGGGTCCTTTTACTTTGATCTATTCCAGATCTTGTTTGTTGTTAAACAGAATCTGCATTATTGTTCCTGGCTGTTGTCCCCCGTACGTGAAAAGATCATTTTCTTTTTTGAACTGAGAGCTACAGAAAGATCAGCACTTGCCTGTACATTTTAAATTCAGTTTTCAGGCAAATTATAGGGCAACAATGAACAAAGGGAGGTACAGACCCACCAGTTGTGCCAGTGCATTAAATACTGGGTGTTGTTGCATCATCTGCAGTAAGTATGTAAAATCCTGTGTAATTGGATAAAAGGCTGAATGCAGTGCTGCCATGCCTTTAACCATTTAACCAATTAAAGCGGGTGTGGGGACACCCCACCCGCTGGAATTGGGTTAGAACAGCCCATGCTGCAGGCAGGGGCTATTCCAGCTCAGCTGCTCCTGGTCCCCATACGGAGGCTGTTGCTGCCACCGCTATTTCCAGCCCCCGTGTAGGGGCTGCTGGCTCCCAACCCATACAAGCTGGAAACCGGCAGCCCTATGTGGAGAGCCCAGCAAGGCTGCTCCTGGATACCAGTTAACTGTTATCCAGTAAGTATCACCCATTAAGGGAGATGCTTACCAGGTAACCTTTTAATAGCTAGCCATTAACATCCCTAATCCGCAGTAATTACAGGCAACATACAAGCTTGCTACTCCTCTGAGCAACTTATTGTAATGTGTTCAAACCTTGAAGCTTAAAGACTTTCCTCAAATAGCCAGCATGCTCTCCTGATTTGCTCTACAGGTCTCCCAGTTCTCTGCATTAAGGCTTATATGTTGCCCGAAAACTGAATTTAAAATGTACAGACAAGTCCTGACCTTTCTGTAGCTCTCAGTTCAAAAAAGAAAACGATCTTTTCACATACATGGGGACAACATCCAGGAACAATAATGCAAACCATGTATACATAGCATTTCACATTTCAAAGCAG